AACTCACAAATCATTATACAAATTTGACAAAAAATTACAAGAAACTCTTAACCAACTTGGTGTAATGATTTTAGAGCCATACCAAGTTGGTCGTATGTTCTTTTATATGGTTTGATTAATACCGTATAAGTGTGTAAGAAAAATAGAAAAGGAACGAAAGAGGGAGTGGGAGAGAGATTGAGAGAGAACAATAAAGATTGAGGGAGAAGGAGAGAACGACCAAGAGAGAGAATGATAAAGATTGAAGGAGAACAAGATATTGACGGAGAGACAAAAGAAGAGAAATTGATAGAGAGATTGACTACAAGAGAATGATTGAGATGAGAGATAAGGGAAATATAGAAACTGAAAACCCTTTGTTTATTTTCAAAGCACATAGTCAATGAGCAAAGAGAGATGACCGTGATAATGAGAGAGTGGAAAGAAGATCAAGAGAGGAGGGGCTAGGAGAGAAACAAAAAAATAAACCCTTTTGTTTATTTTCAAATCACCTAGCTTTAATAGTAGTTTTGGTTTAGACATTTTGTTGTGCCCAGCATGAATTAAAAGTCCCATGTTGGCAACAACCACATAAGCCTTTGATGACAAGGAGGGGTATTTTACAGTTTGAAATGTAGAACCAATTGTTAGAATTTTGAAGTTTTCTAAACCAACTTGCAACCTAATTTTAAATGTACAGTTGACTCTAACTATAATTTTCCCTAAGAAAACACCCATTTCAAAGTCTGGTACCTCAGGTTACTACCAACACTCATATGAATTTCCCGAGTGAACATAAATCTTGTTCAAAATTTCAATATTGGGATCTACTTCCCCATTTTAATCCCAAGATGTTTGATTGGATTGTTAACAAGTTAGGTTGTTCGATTACATTTAATTTTGTAGACTTAATTGAAGTAGTTTGGTTGATTTCAAGGTCAACCAATAAAGAGGGTAAACCCATCTCATTGTTTTTGTTTCGCTTCATGTGAATTTAATCCCAACAATAGCAAATAGGGTTCCTTTATACATGAAAGTCCTAAACTGATTGATTGGATTGTTCATTGGTCGGTTCGATTTAGTCGCAATTAATTTTGTAAACTTAATTGAAGTAGTCGGGTTGACTTTGGGGTTAACCAACACCAACCAAGGAGGGCAAATCCCACCTCATATTTTTTTTAATTTTTTAATCCCAATAGTAGCAAAAATAATTCTTTTGTACACAAAAATCCTAAATTGATTGATTCACGGTTGCATTTAATTTTATAAACCTGACTGAAGTAATTGGGTTGATTTTGAGGTCAACCAACACAAACCAACAAGGAGGGTAAACCCCACCTCATTTTTTTTTTTTTTTTTTGCTTCACATCACTTTAATCCCAAAAGTATTAAAAAGGATTCTTTTGTACACAAAAGTCCAAGATTGACTGATTGGATTGTTTATGGGTGGATTCAGTTTAGTTACATTTAATTTTGTAAGCCTAACTAACGTAGTTGGGTTGATTTTGAAGTCAACCAACAAGGAGGGTAAACCCACCTCATTTTTTTTTGTTTTACTTCACATCAATTTAATTATTTTTAATTAAACTAAACCCAAATCAATGCTGCAGCTTTAAAATGTCAATCTTAAATAAGTAGGCCCAGACTCTATCTCTACTCCCTACAATTGCAATCAGCCAATCGAGTGTTAGTCCATATTAAATATGTTGTCTCTAGTCTTCTCTCCTAGTCTCATAGACTTGCCCTTAGCTTTTACTTGCTGTTAGTTAGATTTTACTTTTTGTGGGTTTTCTGTGAAAGAAAAATAAAAGGATTAAGCAGTGTTTAGAAAAATTAGATCGGATTGGCCGGTCGGACCAATTGAACCTGACCCGGGACTTTGGCTGGTTCAGTCATTCCATAGTAACCACTTTGGTTAAAAAATTAGTGAAAACTGGGTGACCAACTGATTTAACTGGAAAACTAGTGAACCGGTCCCGGTTTCATGAAACCACCCAAGTCCTTAACTAATAGAAAGTTTAGAATGTGCTCAACAAGATTCAAACCTATGATCTTTTATTTTCATATAATTGCTTAATTACCATTAGTCCCCCTCTTAACTTGTGTTAAATAATGACTCTTGTTTGTACACTACTTTATTATGCATGTATTTAAAGAAAATGTAAATTAAGAGACTTGAGCCCTAATAATCAATGTTCAAAGTATCGGAAACACAAGGTGTATCGAAAAGGTAATTTTAAGAGAAGTATCGAGATATGCTTTGAAAACACATAGATACGGACAAAAAATCAAGATACGCATTGATACACTAGAAAATCCAAAAAAAAAACCTTAAAAATATGAACAACAATAAAAATGAGTTTTATGTGATTATATATAATTTATTTAAACATAAAAACCATTCTTTAATGATTTGTATAAAGTATCGGGATGTAATTAGTAACCGTCGAAAAATAATAGAAGAACTAAAATGTATATGTGTGTATATATACTAATATTTATTATATATAGATTTAGATAGTATTTATTATGTATACAAGTTAATATATACCTTATTTTTTAATAAATAAATATAATTTGTATTCATCTTATTATTATATAAATATTAATAATCAAATTTTAGCATTTGTTGGGAAATATTCACCAAGGCAAGAAAGATTATTTTAAGTATAAGAAAAAACATGTTGTTTTAATAAGCAATTAAGGTTGGTATAATGGTTAATTAATCATTGCTATATGCAAATGGCTTGGGTTCGAAACTTGTTATCTTTAGTTTGTGATTTTTAATTAACATGTTATTTAACTTAAATAACATTTAATGACATATTAAATGTCATAATTAAAGGTAACTCAAATGATCATTTAATTAAATAATATTAGCATTTAGTGACGTCCCAAACTTAAAGGTTTAATTAAAATTGATATTAATGAGAGAGAAGAGATGAACTAAATTTAAATTTAAAAAGGAGAGGGAAATTAAATCCAATTGATACATAATGCGTATCAGTCCACTTTGGGTTGTATTGGCCGATACGTACTCGAAGCGGGCCGATACAGACCGAAAAATACAAAACCACCCAATTATACATGTTCCATGTATTGGAACTCTTTGGAAACACATGGCAGAAAGCCCTATAAGTGATAAATCTATCTTGCCTTCAAGAATGAACGAATAAACAAACAATAAGAACAACGTCAACACCACAATCAAAGACTAGAAAACAAAGTTCCGCAATTGCTTATGGATCTGCAACCCAAATAAAAAATAGAATGAAGGAAAGAAACATGGCAAAATGATGCAATTTTTATATTAATTAGATGTTTATCTTTAATCCTACTCGGGGTTCTAGGAAGATTGCGCTTTTTTGTTGTTGTTGTCGACAACGTAGGTGCTTGGTTACCAGACGAAGATGCGCTAGCTTTTTCTGAAGTTGTAGAAACAATAATGATGGATGCATTTTCCAACTCCATAGGCATGTTTCCCAAAATTCTACGATTCTTAGGAAAAAGGATGACGGCAAAATCTGGGGATTTGATGATACAAGAGGAATAGAAAATAAAGCCAAAGCTGCTCAATAATTCCAATCAACAAATCAAAACCTACATAAATCTTCCTTGCTTTGATGAAAGTGTACTTGGGTGATACGACGGTTGTAGATCTCACGACAAGGTTTTGAAAGGACCTCTGGCTTACTATGATTTTAGAGGAGATGTTGCATAGTTCAATTGGCCATGGCCGTGACCTCAGAAACAAGTTTGATACCCATCTCGGGTCCCTCTATGAAAAACTCAATTGTCATATCTTTCAACCATGCGATTGATCCAGGTCTCAGGCCTTACAGTGTAATCTTTTATTTCTTCATATGAGTTGGTTCGTGTAAAGGAAGTATTGAGGGTGGGTTTACATGAGTTGGATTGTGTAAAGGAAGTTTTGAGGGTGGAAAAGTCTATGGTGGCTGAATGTTTCCTCTCTCTTCTAAACTCCATGTATGGGAGATTGAAATATAAGACAGGACGTCAAGTGGGTGATTCATATTGAAGTTTCTTTTAGGGTTATTTTGGTAAAAGTTTATATGAATATCATATATAAAAAGGGTAAAATGAGTATTTTGAAAAAGTTCAGGGGAGGTTTGTGTTGGGCTTTCCAAAAAGTTCAGGGGAGGTTTTTGTTAAAATGAAATTTTAAGGGAGATTTTTATATTTTATCCTAAAATAAATCAAACCTCATAAATCCTTGTTGTTTGTTTTTGTTTTTGTTTGATTTTTTTTAAAATTATTTTCATTGCATTTTCATTTTAGAATATACTTTGTGCTTTCATTATGTTGATCATTTTTATGCGAGTTAAAGTTTCTTATTATCAATATAAACGTTCCATTCATATAATTAATTAAAGTACTTGATTTTTATTTACTCATGCATACCTAAATATTCATTTAACCATCTATGCCCGTCCAAATTGTATTCAAATAAAGCACTTTTGCCTCTTAAATCCTCTAAATATTTGCTTTGCCCAGTGCTAATCAGTGATTAGTGATTGGTGCAAGGTTCAAAATTTCGATATATATCTGACTGTATCGGTTGATTTATCATATGGCTGACATCTTGATATGCCTCCATAACGGTATTTCAGGGTCTGACCTAATGGAAAGGATAGACAAGCCTTAATAAGCCCTCTGAACCAGTTTAAAAAATAAATAAATAAAAGTAACGCAAAATATGGTACGATACCCCAATCGATATTTTGATCTTTGAATTTCGATCACCAAGTTGACAATAAATAAATGTGATGAGACACCACCAAAACAAACAAGCCACCATAATAGTTAAAGTTAGATAATGGGATCAATCATTATATAGATGCTTACGCAATAGATGATGTATTTATATAAGGTGCCATAAACTGATGAGACACCACCACCACCACCACATGTTATCGAGATGCTTTTTTGGCAGCACTTAGCATTATATATGTAGCGATAAGATTCAATGTTGAAGGTGAAAACTGATGACACGTTATGCTCTAAAAATCCAAACTAAGGTCGGTGAGTATTTCTCCATTATTTAATTAGATCATATCAAGCTAGCTTGATTATAAACCAAGGGTACTACAAGACCAGCTGTCTTGCTGAGCAGATCGATCAGAAAGAATGGCCGAGACTGGGAAGGTTACTGATTCCGGCAAAGGCGATTGCTGCAGGTAAGTTGATGAATTAATTGCCCCAGTACATAAACTCTAATTATCGGTTGGAAGATGTACATATACACATGAGACCACAGTGATTATCATAAGAAATCTAATAAAGTATAGCCTTCTGTTTTGCTAGTAGGTCTGTATCGGGAAGCAAAACCATCAAAGTTGAGTATACGCTTTGCAGTATTGACAGCCCAAACAAGTCTACAGCTGATGAAATGGAGTGCCCCAGCGCTGGCGAGGCGTTCTGCAAGTGTGGACAAGGATGGAGTTGTGTCATCACCAGAACTGAAGGCCCTGATAGTGGCAAGGCCTTTTTCAAATGCGGTGAAGGCTGCACCTGCACGGCGGGTGCTAGTTGTCCAGTCAAGTTAGCCACGTGTCCCGGCGTAGGTGAGGTATTGTGCAAGTGTGGAGAAGGATGGACTATTGTCGTCACCAGGACTGAGGGACCAGCTGATAGTGCCAATGCTTTCTTCAAATGCGGAGAAGGCTGCATGTGTGTCGCACAAGCTTGTTGATCAATATTTTCTATCTCCATGTGTAGTGTAAAATAATAGTGCAAGATAGACATGGTTCAAGAACCTAATGGAGCAATTTTAAAGGTCATATATGCTTTCTTTTGAACCATATATGACCATATTATATGCAAGATAGACATGGTTCAAGAACAAGTATATGTGTGGTGTTTTTGTGGAATTAATGAAGGCCCAAGTCTGAAATATGTCTTAATTATATGCTTTAATGCATGGAAATTAAATAGACTGTTATGAAAGGTTATGCTTAATTTATTTATACTCAAGTTTCTTATCTATCTATAAACTATATATAAAGTGATATTGTCTAGGTTGAGGTGGATGAACAACAGATAAACGTCTTGATAAGCTGGACAAGTTGAAACTGATCTAATATTGATTTGAAAGAAGAGAAGTCCAGAGGTCCTCAGATGGTTTTCCGTGAAGGAACATTCTGATGCTCAAGTCCATAAGAGGATAAAGACGTCGGTTAAGCCGAGCTGGTCATAGCTGAATTGAGCTAGAAAGTCTAAAGGGCTAAAGAGAGAAAGTTAAAATGCCAGAAAGTGGAGAGAGAAGTACCTTGGATGGTGTGCCCATAAATACGTACAGGGGAGTGTCGTTGTGCTCCTCACGTGGTGTGTTCCAAGATCGTCTTTAACCAAGGTTCCCAGAGGTTATTTTCGTACTTTGAGTATGAAGGAAGTTGGATAGAGCCCAGTGTTCGTCATGTGTCCCCCTTTGCTCAAGATTTGTGTTGTGCATCACTGTCACCCTCCGTGGCAAATGATAGTGCACGCATAGCCATTCCCTACGTCGTCCATGCTGAGCAACTCAGTCAAGTGTCGTTAACATTAGGGTTCACTTAGAGGTTCAACAAGGGTGGTTTATGCCCCCATCACCTACCCCTAGTTCCGAAGTCAGGGAGCAATGTGTTTGGCAGCCATTAGGCAGATGAGCTACTTGATTTTTTGGTTGTGGAGCTATTCACTTCTCTTCATGGACCAAGCTGAACATTTTAGACTCAAATCGGGCTTGGTTCAAACATTAAATTCCAATGATTGGAATCTACCCGGGAGAAACTTGAAAAATTAAAATTCTAAACTACGGTGAGGAACAAATCGATATATGTTATGGTCCCGCGCGTAGGATCTTGTCATGGTCGGTCCACGGTGAAAAAGTCTTGCTTTGCCTTGCGTCTTCTCTTGTGTGCAGACCCTATTGCAAAAACTGAATGGGTGATTTGTCCAGGAGACCACCCGAACTCTCCCTTGGGGTGATTTGTCCAAGAGACCACCCGAACTCTCCTCACTCTTTTCTTGATTGGAAAACTGAATGCCTTTATTTCAATTCGTAGCTCCTTAAATAGGAGATTACAGAAGGAAATTCCTAATTAAACCCAAACTCCAACTTGAACTCAAACTCCTAATTACCTACTCCTAATGGTAACACACTCTTAAGATAAGGATAAGATAAGATAGGGATAAGGGATAAGGGATAAGATAGGGATAAGGTAAGCTGGCGACGAGTTGGCAGGCAGAGCTGATGTGGTAAGATAAGTGTGGGCCCAGCCTGATGAGCTGTCGTGTGGGCCCCGCCCTACTGTTGCTGCCGGGCGGTGCGCGCTTCTCGCGGTGCTGCTGCCATGAGGTGCGTGCTGCTGCCATGCGGTGCGAGCTGCTGCCTAGTGCTACTGTCGTGCGGTGCGTGCTGTGTGCTGCCAGGCGGTGCATGCTGCGCGCTATCGGCGGTGCGTGCTGCTGTGCGGCGTTGCCAGGCGGTGCCTACTGTTCATGCTGCTGCCTATAACTACGCCGCAGTGCGCTGCCGGATGGTGTGACCATAACAATATACCTTTTTCATTTGAATGAAAACGCCTGTTGGAGTTTGGTTAGAGCCTTCATCCTCGTATGGGGTGCTTGTCTTTGGTGTAGAATTCAGTAGTAAGTTGCCATGTCCTCGTCTTCCTCTTCATTGTGGTCTTAGGAGTCGAGTTGTTCCTACTGGGGTAGCGAGCGGAGTAGTGAGAGTGGATTGCCTCAAGACGAGAAAGTTAAGGTGGTGGTCCCCGAGACTAACACCAACGATGCCAAGGTCGAGGTGGATGAGGCTGAAGTCAAGGATGATGAGGTTGAGGTCGAGGTGGAAATCCTTGGAGTCAAATCTAAGGGAGATGTTTGAGAGGAGGTGGATGAGGACTTTGTTCCTTTAACCAAGGTTGAGGTGAACCCTATTGAGGAGGCCAAAGAGGTTGAGGAGGTTCCAACTTGGGCCCCTACTAGTCTTGGCAATATTTCTTATACCTTGCATGAGAGGGACATGGGTGGGATTATAAAGTTATACTCAATTTCTCTGGAATTCGAGCTCAAGTGCCTTAGAAAGGAAGAGAGGGCCGATTCACCTCGGCCAGGCGAGCTTAATTTGTGTTATGAGGGTAGCCTCGAAGTTGGACTTAGGTTCCCCTTATACTAGGGGTTACTAGACATGTTAAGGGACCATTGTATGCTACTCATCCAATTAGTTCCCAACTCCTTCTTATATGTGGTCAGACTCCTTTGCTTTTGTATCATCCATGGCCAGCCGATGACTTTCAACATTTTCCACACCCTCCTCTTTTTGAAGAAGCACAAAGGGGATACTATTACTTTTCTGCTCGTTCGAACTCGAAGGTGTTGTTCGGAGACCCTCCTCGATTCATGAATGGAAAGGGAAGTTCTTCTTTTGTGAAGTGTCAAGATGGGGTAGCCCTTTGAGTCCAAACTCGTTGTCCCAAAAACCAAAGTGAAGGTGCTTGGTCCAAAGCTCCTTTCTGATGAGGAGAAAGAAGGCACAGTGTGGTTGGACAAGCTCAAGGTTTATGTCTATTAGTGTACATCCAATGCCTTGTTAATCTGCACTGAGTTGTACCCAACTCGACTGGGTAATGGAGTCACTAAGTTGTTGACTCTCAATGTTTGTCTTTTGATTACTAGAGTGTGATTATGTTTACTAATTGTTTGTAGACTCTGAGATGGTGTTTGCAGAGGAACAACTAAAGAATGTCGAGGAGGATTATATATGAAGGCTCCAAGAAGCTCAGGCCTGGAAGAAGAGGACAGCATTGGGCTTGAAGGTGAGGTCGGTTGCTAGATTTTTACGTGGAGAGGTGGCTGAGGTCTTTGCCTCCTTGGTTAAGGTCAGGGCCACCAAGGGCGACGCAAGGTGGATGAGGTTTTGAGGGTAGTGAGGAACCTGTCTATCACCCGGATTGGAAAGTTCAGCCAATAGACATGCTCAAGGTGGAAGAAGTTCCCAAAGAGACAGCTCAAGGTATCTTTCCAAAATCGTCAAGGAGATGAGAGACCAACCTTGTGGGTCAGTCAGGAGCATGACTGATGGAGGTAAATTTGACAGTGCTCAAGGCGCGAGCTCCAAGAAGAGGAACCCCGAACTCCCCCAAGAGGGACTTGTGACCCGAGCTCCCCAAAAGAAGCCCGAACTCTCCCCTTGGCCCCAAACCTTGCGAGGAGCACAAAGGGCCACAACCCGAACTGGCCCACCCCAGGGCAGTTCGGGCCACACTTCTATCCAAACTCAAGACTTTACCTCATGCACCACTCCGGCACATCGTCTCTTGGCCACCGAACTGAACCACCGTACCTGACACCAGAGTCCGTATCCTGAGGTGGCGCACCAGACTAACTTGGGATCTGACGCTTGATAGCCGCACTTCAACGACCACCTGCCACCGCCACCTCCAGTTACAGAGACGGCTCCGACAAAGAGAGCAGTGGTGGTTGCCTGCCCCAACAGAGGTAATGATACCCGACCTGACAGGAGCTTGGGAGTGAGTGTGCGAAGTGGTTATAAAAGGCCCTCTTACCCCCGAGAATGGAGGTACGTGATAACTTTGTGCTATCTGGTTTTGATCTTGCCTTTGAGGAAATACTAACTTGAGCTTCGGAGCACTCTCACCAGGTTCCTCCCCGGAGACTCCTCGCCTTCTTCCCCATTTCAGGCACCTGTTGCTCCAGTCAGAGGCAAGGTCGTTGACAGCTAGGACCAACCGGATTGCGCAACATCATTTGGCGCCGTTTGTAGGAAACGCTTCTAAAAGCCCCCCTCTAAAACTTTCGTAGAACCTTCTGACCAAGAAACCCCAACACCTATGGCTTCTTCCAGTAATGCTGGACATAGCACGGAGATGAACGCCACCAGGGAACAACTTCAAGTCCCCGTGGTATGCATCGGACAGTTCATCATCCCCTTTTCGGTGGATGGGATCCCCAGCCTGAGTGCGCCGCGAACAATGGCGCCCATGAATCTTCCCTCCATGAACGTCCCCCTTCCTCCCTCTGTTGGAACCACCTTTGCTGAACCTACCATTGTTCCCCCGACAACTAGCCAGTACCAGTTCGATGAACTGATGCATGGCATGTGGGCCATCCAAGCCCAGATGCAGTAGCTTCAACAACAACAAATCCACCAGCAGCAGATGCTGCACCATGTCTCCCAGTACCACTACCAGTAGCAGTTCCCCCAACTGCTTCAAAGTCAGCCGTAGCTCCCACCTCAGCACCCCACCGCTAGGCGAGCCAAGCCCTCCCCTCAAGGCGGGCACCCCCACCAGGAGGCTTCCCAAGCTCGGGCTCCCCAAGCTCAGGCCTCCCAGCCTCGAAGCCCCTCTAGGAGCCAGGCCTCATCCCCTGGTAGGAGAGAGCGAGCTGCGGCCCCCACCTCACCACACGCCGACTGATCAGGAACCCGATCTGTCAAAACAGCATCACCTCGGCACCCTCAGGATGGGCTCCTGTACACCGAGAACCGGTTCAGCGCCTTATCCGCGGACTACCCCCAACAGTCCAGGCCCATCGAGCTTGGGAGCACCGAGGCAAGCAATGCCAGTGTCGGGCCTCCCAAGCAGCAGAGGCGCCACCGACAAAGTCGTCAAACTGCAACTCGCATCCTACTCGAGCTCCGAGGCAAAGAAGAAGCGAGTTCGGACGAGGTAAAAGCTACCCCAGTCCTCTTAGTCCCTTCCCCCTGTCATCAGAACTCCTTGCAGTCCCCATGCCCAGAGACATCAAACTCCCCTCACTTGACAATTATGACGGGTCCATTGACCCCAACGACCATGCCGATGCCTTCCAGTCCCAGATGCACCTGGCAAGGGCTAGCGAGTCCTGTATGTGTGTAGCCTTCACCACCACCTTCAGAGGAGTGGCTCGCGCCTGGTACAGGAACCTGGCCCCCGAGTCAATAAGGAGCTGGGCCCAGTTCGTACAAGTCTTCACCGTGCAC